CCTATTTAAGCGACCTTAAGTCCCTTGGACTTAACCCTAGAGATCCTCCACGGCCTTAGAACGTCCTTACACTCCAGAGAAACTTGTGAGACCATTTTGAGCTTTAAAGAGTGCATTTGTGACCCTTTTAGTGTTCATTCCAAGAAGAAGAGGTGGTCAAACAAGCTTGGAACAAGTTGGTGCTTCAAGAACCTGCATCTTAGTCATCTTGAAAAGCTTCTGGAGGTAAAAAGCTTGGATCTTTCATCTTAAATCTCTAGATTTAGCTAGGGTTTTCTACCTTGTACCTTTTGGTTGATTTTGGACCTCCATTTGTGAGTTAAGCAACTCCAGAAGATGGGAATGAAAGATCTGAGGTCCCTTGGTCCTTTAGAACCATAAAAATTGAGTCTTGATGGGAGTTTTGGCCTCATGCATAGGTTAAAGACCTTGGAAAGGTCTTAATAGATGTGTTGGGTGTATATGAGGCATGCAAAGGCATAAAGTTGCCAACTTTATGCCTTAGGACGTCTTAACAAACTTAGATCTGCCTTTTGGACGTAAAGGAAACGAGTATTAAGCACTTAATGGAGAAAGTGCTTAAACGGGTTGTACGTTAGGCGTAACCCAGTGTACGCCGCGCGTAGTCCCAAGACCCCAGTACGCCGAGCGTACGCATCATAGTTGGGCCGAATCTGTTTTGGGCCTTTGAGCTCTTTGGGCCTCATTTTATTATTGGGCATGGTTGTATTATGGGAATTATGAGTCATATCATCCATTATGGGCCATGGACATATTGATTGGGCTTTATTGGGCCAAGAGGCCCATTAAGGATTTTGGACTTGGACTTTGGACCCATTAGCAAGGGATGGATAATTGGGCCTTATGGAAGGGTTTGGAGTTTGGGTTTCCCTTGATAAATTAAAGTCCTAACATTGTTTAATATTATTATTCAGCACGGGAGGTTACGGACCGTTAGGAGAACAGCTTTTGTATTCAGCAGGCAGAGGTGAGTCTTCTCACTATACCCATGGGTCTAAGGCACCAAGGTCGACCCATTATGTGATTATGATATATGTGTTAGTCATTATGTGTTTTGGTATGTCATGTGAATGTGTGTTTTGCATGGAAGACCTCGGGGGGAGCCCGTGGCATTGGATGTAAGACCATGCGGGGTAGCCCATGGCTGTCCTAGGTAAAGACCATGTAGGGTAGCCCATGACATTGGATGTAAGACCATGTGGGGTAGCCCATGGAAGTCCTAGGTAAAGACCATGTGGGGTAGCCCATGACATTCTTACAGGTTTTATGTATGCATGGCTTATGTGATATGTGTTTAGCTTTAATTAGCTAACAGGATATGTGTATGTGTATTGTGTGTGGTATGCTCTGGGGAACTCACTAAGTATTTCGCTTACAGGTTGTTGATTTGTTTCAGGTACATCTGAGCCCAAGGGCAAGGGCAAGGCATGATGGCGCGACGTGCACTCTATCTCTCGTTCACTGATATGTTTTGGGGACACTCTGATGATTTAAATAAGTTGTAATGAATGCTGATTTGAAAACAATTATGTTGGGATTTCATGGTTTATGCAAATGTGTTTTATTAATTAAAAATGAAAATTTCTTTGAAAAATTTGGGTCGTTACAGGAGAGAAAGATTTCATCCGATTCCGGAATAAAGTTTGAGAAAGATGTCCGGAATGAAAATTTGAAAAAGATTTCCGGAGCAAAGTTTTTGGATTTTCCGGAGCAAAATATAGAAAGAGTTTTACTACCATTCTGGATTTGAATTCCGGGAAGACGTTATGAAGTAAGTTCAGAGACAAGGTTGTTACCAATGTGAATATATTGGTATTTGAATGTTAAAAGATTTAGTAGTTGTTCAACATACACTGAGATTGAAGGTTAGATAAAAAGACACATAAAATGATCCTGATTATTCCGAGAGATGATAGTTCCAAGATGTAAAATGATTTTGCTTCGGAATCAACTTTACTTCCTGATGTTTCCATCAGAGAGTACATACCTCTTGAGAGAATTGAGGATCAGACATCATCATACCCATTTTGTTCAGAAAACTGTTGAACTTGGTTTCGTCTAATGCCTTAGTAAAGACATAAGCAATTTCATCATCAGATGGAACAAAAATGAGTTCAATGTTGCCATTTAAGACATGATATTTTATGAAATGGTACCGTATGTCAATGTGCTTCGTCATGGAGTGCTGAATTGGGTTGTGCGAGATTGCAATTGCACTTTGAGAATCACAATAGATCGGAATGCGTTGAAAGCGGTAGCCATAATCCAGAAGTTGAGATTTCATCCAGAGGACTTGTGAGGTACAGCTAGAAGCAGCAATGTATTCCGCTTCGGCTGTTGATAGAGCTATGCAGTTTTGCTTCTTGGATGACCAACTAACCAATCGACCTCCTAAAAGTTGACAGCCACCAGATGTGCTTTTTCTATCCAATTGAAGACCGTCATAGTTTGAATCTGAATATGCTTGAAGTAGGAAACTCTCATTTGGTGGGTACCAGATTCCGAGATTCTGTGTACCTTTGAGGTATCGGAATATTTGCTTAACAGCCAAAAGATGAGACATCTTTGGATTGACTTGAAATCTGGCACACAAACATGTTGAAAACATGATGTCCGGTCGACTTGTTGTGAGATAGAGTAAGGATCCAATCATTCCTCTGTACTTCATTTCATCAACGGCTACACCTGAAAGGTCCGAAAAGATCTTGTGTCTGAAACCCATTGGTACCTTGGCTGAGGCACAGGTGTCCATTGAGTACTTTTTGAGGAGTTCTGAAATATACTTCTCTTGGTGAATGAAAATTCATCTGTTAGTCTGTTTGACTTGGAGGCCAAGAAAGAAGCTTAATTCCCAATTCATACTCATTTGAAATCTACTGACCATTAACTTAGCAAAGTCAGCAAGCATTGAAGAATTGGTGGATCCGAAAATGATGTCGTCAACATAAATTTGGACTAGCATGAGATGTTTTCCATTTGACATTCGGAATAAAGTAGGGTCTAGAATTCCTCTTTGAAAGCCTGAACGCTTGAGAAAGTCAATGGGGGTCTCGTACCATGTGCGAGGAGCTTGCTTAAGGCCATAAACAACTTTCCGGAGTTTGTAGCAGTAGTTCGGATATGAAAGATTAACAAAACCAGGAGGCTGTTGAAGATATACTTCAGTATCAAGTTCACCATTTAGAAAAGTACTTTTGACATCCATCAGGTAAACCTTGAAGCCTTTATGAGCAACATAAGCAAGAAAGATTCTGATAGCTTTAAGATGTGCAACAGGAGCAAAGGTCTCATCGTAGTCAAGCCCTTCAATCTGTGTAAATCCTTTAGCTACCAATCTTGCTTTGTTTCTAATGATAACTCCTGCATCATCTAATTTATTCTGAAACACCCATCTAGTACCAACAATGGGATGATTCAGCTGGGAGAGGGACGAGAGTCCAAACTTCATTTCTATCAAATTCTGCCAATTCTTCTTGCATGGCTGTAATCCAATCAGCATGTTCAAGTGCTTCTTTGATGGATTTTGGTTCAACCATTGAGATAAATTCCGAGAAGTGACATTCATTTTGAACACTTATGGCAGAGCGGGTTTGTACACCAGCGTTTGGGTTTCCAATAACTTGGTTCAGAGGATGATCCTTGGTCCAAACATGTAACCTTGGAAGTTCTTGTGCAGCAAATGATCCAATATCAACAATGGGGTTGTGTTGCTCCCTCTGAATAGTTTGAATGTGTGATTGATGCTTCCCCTGAACTTCTGAACCAGATAGGTTGACGTCATCTTCAGGTGGAAATTCAAAGAAATTTGCATCATCATCGATGTTGATAGGATTGGAGTTAATTCAAACCTTGAATTAATGCTTAAGATCAATGTTTGAAAATTCAAACCTTGAGTTAATGCTTAAGATCAATGTCTGCTTACTAAGGAATGTTCCAGTCAAGTCTGGCAAGACCAGTCAAGTCTGAGTTAATGCATTCAACAAAGTGTTCAAGATATTAATGAAGAGTGAAGATAATGATCAAGGTAAAGACAATAAATGAAGAACAAGAAGAATGTTTGAGAGAATAGCTTGGAAGGTGAAGTAAACTAGAATATTGCTATTTTTGATTGAACAATCTGTCACTTGATTTAAAATAGAAAGCTCCTTTAAATAGGAGAACTGATTACATCGTACTAACCAAATACAAACATAGGACCGGATAATAGAGTTATTTTTGACACTCTGATTATCTAGGTTTGGCAAAAGAGACTAAGTCCTATGACATGTTAAATCAAGCTAAATGACAAATACAATTAATTCAGACGGACAAAAGAGTGATTCTACATATTATCATTCCGGACACTACATCCATTCCGGAATGCCTTGACAACGTTCGGAATGTCTACTACTTCCGGACGCAAGCTTCACTTCAAACTACATATTGATTCCGCACCAACTTCTATTTCGGAATCTGAGGCGGACTTCAGAACTGTCAAAAGGTTAGAGATTGCTAGAGGTTCACTTTCAGGTTCCAACACTTACATATAAAATTTTGTTAAGATGGTATATGATCTTCACCATGAATTTTTGTTCGGTATTTTCTTATTTGTTTTTTTGTTATATTTCTAAGCCACACCTATACCTTTACTCTTTGTGCATTGATGAGTCATAAATTGAATTACATTTTTTTTATGAAGTTAATGCACACCAGACACCACCAACACATTTGAACTCCCACTACTTTTAACCTAATGAAACCATTTGTGCGGATTTCAAATGTCAATGATATCCACCCACACACCAGAGGAAATTTGCCTTAAATGGTTCAACACTTTTACTGATGAAGATAATACAGATCTTTATCAAATCAATCAAACCACACCACTTTGATCATTGTTGTTAATTGTCTAATCGTTAATCAGGTAACCACTTTGATCAAGTATTCCTCTTTCTTCTGTTACAAATCATGGATTGCATCTTTTAATCAATCAATTAAGAACCACTTTACAATTACAATCATTTTACCTTTTCCTATTGCTGTTTTGTTTTTCTTTCACATGATTATGATGCATAAAGCAAAACCCTAAATGTGCTTCATCATACCAATTCCTGAAAGTCAAAACCCTACAAAACCAAAATCGCTCATACATACATACATACATATATGTATGTATGTTTGAAAAAGCTAAAACTACTTAAGCTTGCTTCTGAGAGATCCGTACACATCTTCAAGCTCCTTGACTACCTCTCTCATTGAAGGTCTTCTGTTTGGTTCAGTTTCTGTACACCTCAAAGCAAGCTGAAGCACTTCAGTCACTTGTTCCCTTACAAAAGAATCATACAGATCATCATAAAGCCCTGAATCCACAACCACCTCCAATTCCACCTTTTCACTCCAAACAGACTTCACCCACCTCACAATATCCAACCCATCCGCAAACGAATCATCAACCGCTTTCTTCCTCGTTATCAACTCCAGTAAAACAACACCATAACTGTACACATCAGACTCCATGCTTTTCGTGTTTGTAAATGCATTTTCTGTCAGACACGCAAACATTTTCATCATCATCATCATATAATTAATATATGAACAAAAAACCCTAAACTTGAAAAAAAAATTTGAATTTACCTGGAGCGATGTATCCGATTGTGCCACGGAGTATGCCACTCATTAATGCCGGAGAGGATTGATCGAGAAGCTTGGCAATTCCAAAATCTGAGATGTGAGGCTCCAATTCATCATCTAAAAGAATGTTCATGGGCTTAATATCTCGGTGCACGATAGCAGGATCACAGTCAAAATGGAGATATGCTAAACCATGAGCAGTGCCAAGAGCTATGTTACAACGAATGCTCCAATCCAACAATGGAGGTGGATGCATCTCGTGTAGTATATCATGAAGACTACCATTATGCATATACCTGTATAAAATCAACCCGTAATTCTTTCTCATCCAAAAATCTTCCAATCTCACAAGATTCCTGTGTCTGACTTTCCCAACTGTTTCAATCTCTCTAACCATGCTTGTGCTTCCTTCTTTACTAGCTCCAAACATAAGCTTCTTTACTGCAAAAACCCCGTTTTGACCTAGTGAAGCTTTGTAAACAGTTCCATGGGCTCCTCTCCCGATTATGTACCTATCATTCAAGTCTTCAGTAGCTTGCATTACTCTCTGAAAAAGAACATCATCATCTTCTTTATCAGGATACACCTCTTCTATATCGTGTTTTTCTCTTTGTCGACATTGAAGCATGAAACCAACTCCAATAACTACTGCAAACAGACATGCAGATGTTGCAAGGGCCACCATTGCAGTGTGGAACTTGCTAAGACCTTTCTGTTTGTTTGAAGAACCAGGACACAGCTTGAAGTTTCTGAAAGGATCACAGTTTGAGCCACAATCGACACAAAGATCTGGATTCCCTAAGAAGGAATCAAAAGAGGAATTGAGAAATTTCATCAATGGTGATGGTATTTGACCTGTGAAGAGATTGTATGAAATGTTGAGGCCAGTTAACACACGAAGCTCGGCTAGTGATGATAAAGATCCGGTTAGATGGTTGTGGGAAAAATCTATGTGCTGTAACATGACCATTTTTGAGAAACCTGAGGGAAGATCACCTGTGAGATGATTTCTGCTGATGTTTAATGTGTCGAGTGACTTGAGCTCTACTATTGAAGAAGGTATTGTTCCATTTAATGCGTTTCCATCAAGTTGAAGATCTATCAGAGCCTGGAATTCAGATATGAAATCAGGGATGTTCCCGGAAAATTGATTGTCACTTAAATACAGTCTCATTAGCCCTGACATGCTCTGAAAAGCATATGGAATTGAGCCATTGAACTGGTTATCACTTGCATCAAATTCCAACATTTTCCTGCAATTTGTTAGTTGAGATGGTAAAGGACCTTCGAATGCATTGTGGGAAAGGTTCAGAGCTCGAAGATGAACGAGATTTCCAAGCTCCTTAGGTAAAACACCTGAAAACCTATTCATGGAGAGGATAATTTGTGATATATTCGTAAGATTACCGATGCTAGCTGGGATTTCACCGGTGAAATTGTTGTTTTCAAAGTTCATGTAATCTAGGGTTGGATTATTCACAAATTCTGGAAGAACTCCGGTGAGACTACTGTTCTCTAATCTCAATCGTAGAAGATTTGGACAGTTTCCAAGGTTGGAAGGGATACCACCTTCGAAATTATTGAACCCTAAAACCAGTCGCTCAAGTTTCTTTCTGAAGCAAAGATTGGGTGGGATTGGTCCAGTGAAGGAGTTGTCGAGGAAATCAAGTATGACAAGATCGCTGTTCATTCCTAAACTTTGAGGTATGACACCGGAGAAATGATTAGTAAACAGAGTAAACTCTTTCAATTGCTTCATCTGGGCGACTTCAATGGGTAGTTCACCAAAAAGACGATTTTCATAGATAAGAAGGTGTTCTAGGGTTTCGATTTTCCAAATACTCATTGGAACCTCACCTGTTAAACGATTTGTAAACAAAAAAAGGGATTTCAGCTTCAGTATACCAAGCTCACTTGGAATACCACCCTCGAGTTGATTTTGATCCAGTTGAAGATCAGACAACGATGAGCAATTGGCAATCTCAGTAGGAATCTTTCCTGACAATTCATTGATAGATAGGTAAAGGAGAGTCAATTTGGTGAGTTGACCAAAAGAAGAGGGGATTTCACCGGTTAACCGGCATTTCACAACAGCGAATTGTTGCAGGTTGCTACAGTTTCCCAACTCAGGTGGAAGACGGATGAAGTTGTTGAAAGACAAATCTAAATAGATCAAATCTTTGCAACCATTGGAACCCAAAGGAATTCTACCTTCTACACCAGCTTTATGAACATCTAAATAAACGAGGTTAGCAAGATCATTTAAGCTATCAGGCAAAGACCCAGTGAAGTGATTATCGTCAAGGCATAATTTGTTGAGCATGGTTGCGTTTCCCAAGTTCGACGGAATCAAACCGGTCAGCTGGTTGGAGCTGAGGAGAAGCACCTCCAAACCGGAAATGTGAAAGATGGATTCCGGAATGGACCCATTGAGTGAATTGTTAGAAAGAATCAACGATTTCAAACGCAAGTTACCGAAGCTGTCTGGTATCTTACCAGTAAGGTCGTTGAGCGACAGGTCCAACTGTTGAAGACGACTACAATTGCTTATCGATGAAGGAATTTGACCGGAGAGATGGTTAAAACTCAAATTCAAATATTTCAGTTGGGTTAACCGGGAGATTTCCGGCCCTAATTCACCGGAAATTTGGGATTTTGATAAGTCTAAAGAGATTACCAGCTTGTTCCGATCACAAAGAACACCAACCCACGAACAAGGATTTGCATCAGAATCATTCCAGGTTGATACGAGTGATGGGGGTATAGAAATCCAATGGCGTGAGAGTGATAGTAATGTTTCACCATCGGAGCTCAAACCAGATACAGAATAGAATGGAGGAGGAAGGAAACAAGCTACCATTGACAAGTAAATTAAATCAACCTTGATCTTCATTAATGTCGAAGAGAAAGAGGAAGCTGGAGGAGATGAGTGTGAAGAGTGGTCGACTACACTAGTGGTAGTGGAGGGAGTTGCAGAGTGATTTATTGAATTTCGAGGTTACTTTTAACGCCTATTCAAAAGGTCTTCGTTCTTTGTGGTTGTGCTTGCCTCGAATCTCAATCAAATCACCTCAAAATCATCATTACGTGTGTTCTTCGTCCACATCACACAAATTTTTTTTTTTAAAAACCCACGAGGTTTTAATGTGAAAGCAACCGAATTTGATCTAGATACTGATGATTTGATTCTGTTCTCAGTGGGATGCTCTGTTTTCTTGAAATTTCGCAAAACCGAAAGGGTTTCTAGTGTTTCGATCTTTCTTTTCTTTTATAGATTAAAGTTTGGATTTTCTCACGACTTTCCAGATATGAACTACTAGGGTTCAATCCCTATAGGAAACAAAAACATCAATTCTTGATTAGTTAATTACTTATGCCAACAAAAAGTAAAGAACACACATGCGAAACAAATTAGCGATGACTCTACTTTTTGAAAAATGAATTAACAATTCTTTCTTTTAACACGAGCCGGTTTACATGAATAACTAAATGAATAATTAAATCAGTCAAATGACAAAATTCAACAGTCGTTTATATTCTTCATGTTACTCGCATTTCCAACTGTTACCAAATTCTTTAATCTGTGCGTGACTGATGCAACCAAATCATAATATTATATCGACTTAAAAAACAAAAAGAAAAAAACAGGTAGACATTTAAGTATACAACAACTAACAACCCCAACAAGCTAATATATTAATAATTATCCGATGCTTTTGAATGAAGATTTGGTATCTTCAAGACACTTTACAACCTCTCTCATCGATGGCCTTCTTGTTGCTTCCCATTTTGTACATCTTAAAGCCACCAATAAAACATTTTCCACTTGTTCTCTGATCATTGTATCATCAATTTCATCTAAAACCTCATCATCTACAATCTTTTCAAGCTCCTCTGTGTCTCTCCATGTTGACCTAACCCATGACACCAAGTCCATGTTTCCTGTTCTCTCCATTAACAAAGGATCAAGAACCTTCTGTCTGGTTATGAGCTCCAGCAACACAACCCCATAACTATACACATCAGACTCCATGCTTTTCGAGCTTGTAAACGCATTTTCTGCAACACAAATCAATAACCAAATAAAATGAATATAAACAATAAACAAGTTTACAAACACAAATAAATGTATATAATAAATCTTAAATCTTTACCTGGAGCAATGTATCCTAGTGTCCCCATAAGTAAGGTGGTTGGAGGTGAAGCAGTAGAATGATCAAGAAGCTTAGCAATGCCAAAATCTGAGAGATGAGGGTCCATGTCAGCATCTAAAAGAATATTCATAGGCTTAATATCCCGGTGCACGATAGCAGGATCACAGTCAAAATGAAGATATGACAACGCCTGAGCTGTTCCTAATGCTATCTTGTATCGAATACTCCAATCTAAGCTTAAACTTTTTCTCTCATGTAGAACATCATGAAGGCTTCCATTTTTCATATACTTGTAAAGAATCAAACCGTATTCTTTTTTTATCAAGAAATCTTCAATTGTCACAAGATTTCTATGTCTCACTTTTCCAACTGTTTCCACTTCACGTATCATACTTGTATGTCCTCCTTTTGTTCTTCCCGAAGCAAGCTTTTTTACAGCATAAACCTTATCATGACCTAAAGAAGCCTTGTACACTATTCCATGGGCTCCTCTCCCAATTATATACTTATCATTCAAGTTCTCAGTAGCTTCCAGAACTTTTATCATCAAAGTGGAAACACCCACACCCACACCCCCTTCACCAAGCATCTCAATGTCTTGTTTTTGTTTTCTGTGAAGAAAAAGCACCAGATAAAGTACAAGGAGAACAGCAGCTACAATCAGACATATTCCAATGGCTATCATTACATATTGCTGTTTGCTCAGGTGTTTCTTGATTGGTTGAAGAACAACACAAGGTTTGAAATTGCCACAAAGACCTGGATTTCCTATGAATGATGAGTTGGATATGTTGGAAGATGACAACAAGATTTCTGGAATTGGCCCTGTGAAGTGATTAAAAGAGACATTCAAGTCAACCAGTCCATGAATGTCACTTAGTGATGCTAAATCCCCAGTTAGATTGTTGAATGAAACATCCAAGTACTCTAGCATTACCATCTTCCCAAAATTAGAAGGAATATCCCCTGTTAATCTGTTTCTGCTGAGATTCAAGTTACTTAAACTATGGAGCTCTACTATCGATGAAGGAATGTTTCCACTGAATGAATTCCCACCTAAATCAAGGCTTATTAGATTTTGGAGTTCAGATATGAAATGTGGGATTTCCCCAGAAAAACGATTCTCTTTTAGACTTAAAGTTGACAAACGAGTCAACTTCCTAAAGCTCTCAGGGATCAAGCCAGTTATCGAATTATGACTTGCATCGAACTCCAACAACCTGCTACAATTGGAGAGATGAGATGGTAAATGACCTTCTAACCCATTGTAGGAAAGATTCAAAACTTGAAGCTCCACAAGGTTTCCAAGCTCAAAGGGTATCTGGCCATGGAGTTTATTCATGGAAACATCAATCTCTGTGATATTTGTAAGCTTCCCAAAGGTAACAGGAATTTCACCATTGAAGCCATTTTTCTTAAGGTTCATGTACAACATGTTATGATTCTCAACAAATTCTGGAAGGACACCCGTGAGGTTATTATGTTGCAAGATTAATCTTGAAAGACTAGAACAGCTTCCAATGTCATGAGGTACACTGCCTTCAAGATGATTAAAACCCAAAAGTAGTCTTTGTAGATTCTTCCGGAAGCATATGTTTGGTGGAATCTTTCCTGTGAATGAGTTATTTGTGAAATCGATTATCATCAATCTGCTATTGATTCCCAACCCCTGAGGTATAACTCCAGAGAAACGATTGTTGTACAATGTAATCTCTGTTAATTCTTTCATTTCAGCAAGAACACCAGGTAGTTCCCCAGAAAGATTATTGTTGTATATGTTAAGCTTCTTGAGGCCTTTAATCTTCCAAATCTCCATAGGGATCTCTCCTGTCAAATGATTATTGAACAACTGAAGTATTTGCAATCGACTTAACATCCCGATTTCATTTGGGATATTTCCCTCGAGTAGATTAGCATGGAGTTCCAGATCAACCAAGGAATTACAATTCCCGAGCTCAGTTGGAATCTTTCCTGAGAAACGATTAATGGAAAGATGGAGGGTGGTCAATGAAGTGAGTTGACCAAGAGAAGAAGGAATGAGACCACTTAAGCCACAGCTAACAGCAGCAAGCTGGTTTAAGCTACTACAGTCTCCCAGTTCATGAGGAAGAACGCCATGGAAATGGTTGAAAGAAAGATCCAAATACACCAACTCCTTACAATTACCACCATTAAAACGAATGATGCTGCCCTCTAGACTGTTGTTATGAACATCAAAAGTAGTAAGGTTGGGAAGATCATTTAGGGTAACAGGTAACGTACCAGTCAACTGGTTGTTACCAAGCATGAGTGTCTCCAAGCTACTGCAATTCCCAATGGATGAAGGAATGGAACCCGAGATTCCATTGTCGTTCAACTCCAAGTCTAATAGCTTGCTCAGGTTACCTATGTTGAACGGAATCGGACCACTAAGCTGGTTAAAACTGAGGTAAAGTGTTTCCAATTGGGGATTGCGAAATGAAAATTGGGGTATAGATCCAGTAAGAGAATTATCGTAAAGACTCAAGACTTTCAAGTTTTGCAGATTCCACAGGCTTTCTGGTATTCTCCCTGTGAGGTGATTTAAGGACATATCCAGTTCTTCAAGACGACTACAGTTCCCGATTTGCGAAGGGATAGAACCAGTGAGCTTATTGCTATAAAGACTCAACTGTTTTAAAGAAATCAAGTTCCCTAAACTCTCTGGTATTCTTCCGGATAGGGCGTTGTAGGAAAGATCTAAATGGTGAAGAAGGGTGCAATTACCGAGTTGTGAAGGGAGTGAGCCAGATAGATTGTTATAGCTCAAGTCAATCGATCTAAGGTGGTTCAAGTAACCGATTTGTGGGGCTATCTGGCCAGATATGAGGTAACTGGATAGATTGAGAGCATCGACATGATTAGTAGCAGTGTCGCAATGAACTCCAACCCATGAACAAGGTGTTGGGTGTGAAGCATTCCAGGTAGAAGAAATTGATGGAGGTATTGATGTCCAGTGAGTCATGAGTGATAATAAGTGTAACCCATCGGAGTTTATTCCAGAAACAAGTGATGATGGAGAAAGATAAACCAACCCAAACAGAAACAAGAAAAACATAATCGAAAAGGTCATTCTTTTTCGTTTTCTGAAAGTATTATATCGTGCTTAAGGCAGGCGAATTCAAGAGGCGGGGATTACACATTTCTTTAAAAAGATTCGTACTTGAAGAGTTGCAGCTTGAAGGAACTAACTAACCTGGTTGAAGGAAGTGAATGCAAGTAGCTAGAGTTGCAGGTCCAAGGACTTAAACAGTGAGCAGGACATAGATAGATGAAGGTGGTTAGAAAGAGATGTGAGAGGAGATGGATGGGCGACAGTGAGAGTGAGAGTGAGAGACAGGCAAAGATGGAGAGAAGAGAATGGTGAATTGGTGATAAAAAAAAAAAAAAAAAGGTTTTTAATTCAACGCGGTTTCTGGGGGGAGGTGTGAAAGGTTTGACGGTTTGACGGTTCGGGTTGGACATTCTTAAATTGAATGTTGTCTTGTCTTCTTCTTGGAATTAGAACCAGAAGAAGGATTTTGCCACGTTATATCGATACAATAACAAAAAAAAGTAATACTCACTATCTGTATCTGTGCCTCTGTGGCCCGCATCGCTATCTTCGTTCTCATACCACAAAATTCATAAATGTTATTTTAATCTTTAACTTTTTTTTTCTATAAATAGATGGTCCAACCGTCCAAATATCCAATGTGTTTCTAAAACTTTACTTCGTTACTAAGCGATATAAAATAATTTCCTTTTTCTTTTTTCATATTTTTCTTAAGTAATTTCTTTTATAAGAAAAAAATAAAAAAACTCCTACCCCCTCCCCCCTCGAAAATATATCGTTCTCATCTATCGATATAAATAGAACAACAGCGGATGCATAACAAAATCTCAAGGGTTGTAAACTTGATTTTAGGGTTTGTATGGCGGAAAATTTTGTTGGATTAACATAACTAAATTGGTATAATTTTATGAAATAAAAAACAAAGTTCTTTTTAGATTGCCATCATGAACTAGAAATAGCTAGAAACAATTTTAGAAGAATGAGAAAATAATTTATTAATTTATTTGGTTAATAAATTAATTAGGAATGGTTAAGAATTAATTGGAATGTGAGTAAGCACCGAAGAAGGATGTGTAGATGGTTGGAAGAAGGAAAAAGTTTGCTTGGTGAGGGTGGTGGTAGTGGTAGTGGACAATTTGACTATGAAAGAAAGGCGGGTAGAGTGGGATATGTATGGTGTGGTCATTTATAATTTAAGAATAATATAGAGATTAAATTAAATTGTACTTAATAAAAAAAATAATAACAATAAAGGTATAAAAGTGATGATCAACCATGAAGTTTTTCTAAACCAATGGGATCATCTTCGTTAAAAAAAAAAATAGCAATCCAAGTAATGACTTTTTGTTAACCACAGACATCATTTATATAATTTTTTCTTCAATTATGTTAATTCCATCAACACAAACTGTCGATGTGACTTCTAACTATGTTTTCAGTGGTATTTATTTCGACTTTTCTACTATAAAAAGTAGCACATCTTAGTAAAAGATTTGGTAAATCAAGGGTTAAGGGTTAATTCGAAATGAGAAATTAAATTGTTTCCTACTTTTTATGCCTACAAATGTTCCTACCCAATAAAATTATGATAAGTGTCATCATTCCATATTTTTCTAACTAATTCATTAAGGCTATATTAGGAATATATCAAATAAAATTAAATTGAATGGTGATTTGTCATAATTTTAGTGGGTAAGAATAATTGTAGGAATAAAAAGTAGGAGGTAATTTAATTTCTCATTCGAAATAAGACATTAAGTTACTAAATTTATGTTCATTTAGCCGTTAAATTTAACTTAAGCAATAAAAAGTCATAAAACTTGTTTAAAATAGTCATTAATAATGAACTGTCATACGTCATAACTCAAAAGTACTATGTTTAACAAAAATATGTTCACCTTTTACAACTTTAGGAAAATTTAGTAATTATATAAGCACAAATTCAATAGTTCAGGCTTTGTTTGGCTACTAGCTAATAATTGAATGGTTGACAAAAAATAAAATTTGATAAAAACTAGTTGATAAGCTAGTAGGAAGATATAAAATGACATAAAAGTTATTTAGAAAAATAAGTTTCTTATAACTAATTAAAGGCATATCCGGAAACTAAAAAAAAAAAAAAAAAAAAAAAAAAAACTAGTCTAAATATTATTAATTTTTAATTATTAATTCGTTTTTGGTTTGTTAACCATTACAATTTTAAAAAGTGCGAAGAAAAAAAAACTAGCTTATCAGCTACTTATGACGCGCCAAACACAACCTTAATGTCTAAGAGCATCTCCAATGGTAAACCTATATTATAGGTCAAAAATATTATCACTTCACTACTTTATTTTTATTGACCTCTAATTAAATTGTTTCTCCAATGATTCAACTTTTTTATAACTTTTTTTTTATAATTTAACTATTTTATCCTTATCTATCTAAAATATTATATAAAACCCCCCGTTTAACTAATCGTATTTTAAACACATCATATTTTAATATAAACATTCATTCACGTACAAACGATTTATATATTACTATAATTTATATTTATATATTATATATTTGTTTATATATAAATTTTAGATAAATAATAAATAAATCAAAGATAGAAAATGAAATATCTTTAAAGAAAAAGGGGTTGATTGTTCAAACCTTTAAACTAGATTGACCACTCAGTGGTGTTGAATGGTGTTTAAAAATAAGCAAATAAGTCATGCACTTCAATGGTGTTTAATTATTTTGACCACTTAAACAAATAGTAATAAGCTATAAAAAAAACCCACCATTGAGATGCTCTAATTTCGACTTTAACTCTAAATCTAAAGATACCTTTTAAAAATGGTTAAAAGTCTATATAAGTGTTTATGTTAGCGTAGATTTCTTTGCAAAAACTTGAACAAAAAAAAAAAGATAAACTATAATACTTTTGATAAAAGTGTTCGTAAACTATGATTTCTTGGAAATTTTACAAGTAGCACGTACATGGTTTCACTCAATAGTTTGTCCAATATCTCTATGGAATGAGACAATTTTTTGAAAAAGAAATACATGACTTGTAGAAAAAATGTGAGTGGTCAATCGGTATAATTTTTGAATAAAATGAATACAATATGGTATTTCTCGTATCCACCTTTCCGTGGCGTACTCTCATAGTCTCATTGTATCGAAGAAGGGTCCGTAGTTGGTGGACATCTGTCTGTGATCACCTATGAGTCACATACAATACAAGAGACCAATTGGATTGGATCAACTTCATATAAAATACGTAATTAATGTAAAGTCTTATGATTTCTCTAACATGCCCTTAACCTAAAATGTAAAATCTCACGTCACATCACTTGTCGGATTTCCAAATTTAGCGAAACGATTTCACATGTTGTTGAAATATCTTAGAGAAAAGGCAACACGAGAACAAAAGCATACCCCACAACCTAATCCTATAACCACCACTACAATTATTGCTTTCCACTTCCACAACAAGCAATTGATGATAAACCAAGTTGTATTCTCTACTTCAAAAGCTAAAATAAGGAATTATGCTTCATTTTGACATGTTCAATTTCAAGACCATAACACCACCATATCAATTTTACATGTTCATTTTTCTTCAACTAAATTACAAACTTCTGAGTTTTATATGGGTTTAAGAAGTAAATGCAACCCTATACGATTTCAAAACTTGCGTATTTTTAGTTAAGGACAGAGAATGAATTTGTAATTTACTATTTTTCTTATTCTATTTACATACAAAGATGCTGCAAGTTTAAAATTTCCATTTAGACTTGTTGATGTTTTTCTCATAGACCAACCAAAAAACACAAGTCAAAAGAAGTCAACCCAACAAATTTTCTAGGCTTGCTTCAAATTTCGATTTTGTATCTCCATCATGGAGTATGACTATGATGATAATCATCTTCTCTTTTCTTTTCTTGCCAACACTTGCTGCATTTCAACATTCAATGAAAAAAAATATACATCAAAAATCCAACCCTAACCCAACTTCATATGTTTGGCTTATGTTATGACAGTGATTTACTAATATTACCTGAAACAAAAGAGCAGTTCAGTCCTTGACCCTGAAAGATCCCCCATGGTGTATGTGCTTTCTTTGATCCCTGAATTTTTAGATTGTCAAATTATGGCCTAGATGATGATGATGATGATGATGATGTCATGCTAACTATTATTATAAACTCATGCCATGAGATGCTTGATGACATGACATGAAATCATTTCCTCCATTTCCTTTGCACATACACTTACAAAAACATGAGATGACAAATGTAATGTAGATAATAATTCCATAATAATAATGACAGATGTGATGAAAAAGAAGAAAAATCAAACATAACAACACCCACAAATCTATAACATATAAGTCAACAAGATGCTTAAAATGCATGTCTCAGATACTACTAATAATACACTAAGACATATATGCTCACACAAACCCTAACCCTCTCCAATTACATGCAAGTGATATGCTAATGCATTGTTCATGAGCATGATCATGACTTGATGATGATGATGATGATGATGAAATGGATGCATGCCCACCACCAATATGCATCCTATCAGTAACAGTATGTTCTTTTTTCTCAAAGTCAAAGCATAGAGAATAGACAGAGTACATCCCCTTCCAGCTACTGGTAACTAACAACCGCTAGTGATCCATTTGACAGTGGATACCCACCACCATCCTTCCTTTTCCCAAACGGATTCTTTGAATATGTTTTCTCATGTTGAAGAAAACAACAAAAAGATATATAATATATATAACCAAACACAAATGTATGAGAAAATGTATAAGGATATTGTATTCGCATGCCAACAGAAGTGGAACTAGGGATAACAGCCCCCTGCAACATATGATGCACATTTGTTGCACTATTCACATCCTGTGGAGATCAATCATCAACACAACACAAGATTTTAATTAAAAAACATGATGTAGTTTCCAGAAAAGGGCAATTCATAAACCATAATAAAGTGAAAGTGAAACAGAATCTTATCATACCTCAAACTCAATAAAGCAAACAGTGTGCCTTTCCTGTCTCAAGACCTTCATCTGCTTAAATCCAGGTTGCCTGCATTTGCACAAGTACAAGTGTTTCTAGATAAATAAAAACATTCACGAACAAGGTTTTTCTTTAAGGGGTAAAAAGAGAATCTTACACACTGAAAAGTCCTCTTAGTTCTTCTTCGTTTATGTTCTCCCCAAGATTTCCAATAAACAGGGTATTGCAAGGAGGATTATCTTTCGTGTTCTAAAAATTGAATAAGATATAGTACAAAATGAGCACTTCAAGTTCTGCATAGTTTTAATAAAAGAATCAATCATGTCATCAGCACCTGAATTGGCATATAACTGCTAGGTGCAGGTACAGGAGCAGGAGGAGGAGCCATGGGTACTTGAGAAAGAGGATAGGCTCCATAAGGGTCATAGGGTGGTGGTGGTGGTGGGGCCATATACCTAACAAATTTAGATAAAGATTATATGATATAACAAATTTAGAAAACATAGCCAAAATACAGATCAAAGAGCATACCAGCTTCTGGAAATGTAACATTCTCCTTCATACAAACAAACTATGACATAAAAAAATAATACTAACCCATGTGGACCCCAAACAGGTGGAGGTGGAGGATGGAATGGGGATGGGCTTGAGAACCCAGTGTGTGTATAGTCGCCACCTGTCCGCATACGTTTACTTTGATCAAAAGAATTTGGATCAGGTATTATTCCTGCAGAACAAATGAACAATAAATGACATCACATAATAAAAGAAAGCTACGGAAGAAATCCAACAGTTGACACTGGTTTACAATGGGGGAAACCCTACAAGAGTTTGATGTAGCAGGATCATATGTGCTTGTGTAGGTTATCATGGTTTACTAGCTATAAGATTAACAATTTTTCGGGTTCCAATATATGTGTATATACGAGACAACCTAAAGTGAACACAAACCTGCAACAATATACAAGACACTGTGGCTTTGTTCGCACACAAATCAAGGTATCTAAACTTAATGAAAGGAAACTCACCCCGTTTCACAAACAAATTTTTCTTGGCCATTTCTGTGTGCAAGACTGACTTCGATTCAGCATCAAAAACCATATCCTAGGCCAGAAAACATAACCAATAAGCATACTCATTATACATCTTTTAACAAGTGATCATATGGAATTATGGATTACCTGAAGGGTGTCTCTGGCAGCAACAGCAAAATGCGGTGCGGAGAAAAGAGCAAAACCCATAGGGACTTCTCCTTTGAAGTTAACCTGCGAAGCTTCGAACCCGGGTAACCATCTTAGCAGATTCTGCAGTTCTCTCTCTTTAACGTCCTCCGGCAAACCGGAAATGAAGATCGTCCTAACCTCGTCAACGGCGAGACGATTGTCCATTGACATGGGAGAATGGTGCGAGTGTGGAGATGGATTCGGAACAACGACGGCGCCAGTAGGAGCTTGGGCCGGTGGCCACTGTGGATGGTATTGATGCATTCCGTTACCGGCCATCTGTTGTCTTGATCAGTGGATTTGTTCACAAATACAAGATATCCTGCATCTAAAACAGAGTTTTTAACTCAACTTTGTACAAATACTCCTACAACTACTCGATGAAATTTATCAAACTCAGATTTATAGATTTACAAAAGAGTTTTACACATTTAAACAACAAAGATAATGGAAAACTTACAGAATCAAAGATTGGAACTCCAATCCAGAATAAAGTGATGAAAACAGACGATATATTAGGTTTTCTCTCCGAGTTTAACCCTAATCGCACAAACTGGGTATTTGGTTCATGAATCATTGCTGCTTATTTTGCAACTGATCAGTAATACAATTGACCTTATTACCAACCAATCCTTCAAATTTCTTATTATATACATTCAATTCCTTTTTACTTCTAACTTGTCAACTTCAACCCTCCAACTCTCTCACTTTTATCTATCAAGCACAAACTCGTATTTATCGCATTGTTAATTCCTTTAGATCGGTTTGCTTGGCCGGAATGGAATGGAATGGAATGAAATAGATCAGTGAATGAAATGGACAATGCAATAAAATAGTTGATTACCATTTTTTTCGTTTTGCTTGGTTACTTTATTGGAAACGATTTGTCGATTCACGTTGTTTGGGAGGTAAGAAAAGACGTATCTCTAAATATTATTAAAAGAGAACCTTTAATTCTAAATTGAAGAAATTAGGGTCATTGATTGCATTTCAATCCTATATTTTCCACCATTGGATTGTTTGCTGTCATCATCTTTGTCAACCCCTTTATTTTTTGTCTATAAATTTTATAAAACATATATTATGTTTTAAATTAGGAAGTCGATTAATGACAATTAAATCTCACCAAAAATAAAATGAATTAAATTAGTAATTCTATTAATGACAATTAAATCTCATCAAAAATAAAATGAATTAAATTAGTAATTTTATTAATGGCAATTAAATCTCACCAAAAATAAAATGAAAAAATACTCCGCCCCATCCTCATTTCCAGTACCCCTACCCTCTCTCCCTTTTTTCTTTACATAATTTATCTAACCTAAGTTTTGTAGTGGGAAAGAAAATGGGGGAAAGAAGAAATAAAATATATGTGGGCTTCGATTTGTGTAGATCAGTCTTGTGTTCGATCATCATGAAAGAAGGAGGAATGATATAGAGATAAATTTCTTTGGATTATACTTTAATTTGATCGTAGTTTAGATCGATTTTGGGTACATTTTAGATTATGTTTCTTTTATTTTGTTTCAACTATGAAGTTCCAATCTATAAAACCTTTCGATTTAAGTTTAAATCCATAATGATTACATTTTCTGAATCTGCTTCGATTTTTGTTCTTATGATCTGTATTGTTGATTTTGATTTTTTTAAGTTATAGTTATCAGGAGAGCAAAAGGATGGACACAGCAGCACCGCTACCTCTCATCCATTGTTTCGATTTGGAAGATATGTCTACTAGGTAGTGAATTTGTATATGTCGATTTTTCTTTTTTATTTTTACATTTTTTTATATGCATTTAGTCAATGATTTTTTTGTGGCTTACCAAGTCATGAATGGAAGATATACTCGATTCAATATCTATAATGCTTTACCCATTCGATCCCTTCCTAGATTTGGAGATGAAATTTAAACCCTTATACCAGTGAGTGATCCACATTTCTACAACTCAGCAAAACCCAGTGGTGATATGTGTTTTGATTTATTGTAAAAAACATCTTTTAAAGATACAAATTGGGCTTTCAGAAATAAGTTATTCACCTATCCTGTTTTAATATTACAAAAAAAAACATCTTTTAGACTCAATAGCAAAGAAAAGATAAAGTTTTAGTATACCATGTAAATAGATTACATCGATAAATCTTATTGGAAAATGTTTGAGATTGATTAATTTTGGTTAATTAGCAGGGTTTTTTTTTGGTTAACTTGCGTTGTCTGGGCATGTCGAGAAGCATAGTAAGAACCTTTCACAGCCTTATTCTTTAGTTTAACTGGTTTGAATCTTCTTATTGAGTTTACATTCTCAAGGATAAATGAGTACACCATACACTCTTGAAAATAGGGTTGGGAACATTGTAAGTATCAAGATTTTCTCAGCAATAAGAGAAGATATTAGTATAAAAGTTGCAATATAAATCATTTTTAATTACATAATAATAACTAAACAAAGATATGTGAAGGATTATCTTTATAATTTTAAATTGCAATATATAACATAGAAAATCATATGAAATTTTCATTATGTTCCATTCTATGCCTCACAAACATGTTTTTGGAATTGAATTACTTATTCTATTATCTTGCTTTTATGATTATCGATCCATTCCATTTCTTTGTTGTTCCATTCTTTGCAACCTCACATATCTCAAAAAAGTAATTTAGAAATCCATCATACAATAGAAAATGTTTTATAAACTCCTATAAGGGAAGAAGAAAAATAAGACTAAATGAGTGTATGGTGTTAATCTAATTATGATGTTCTTTCATCTCTATTTGCATGTTTCTAGCTTGTTTGTAGTATTGTCTATAAAATATTGTTGTTATATTTGAAAGTTCATTCTACCCTTTCATCTTTTTGTGTGTATATTTTAATGTTTCAGGTTTTTTAGAGTATTTGAAGGACCGTTTCTGCTTGGGAGTGGGGTGAAGTCAAGGGCCCTAAAACTAGAGGGTAGTTGTATTTAGAGCCACTTAAATATTGAAGATTTTTGTTGGCATTAATTTCAATAATCATATGTACCTTAGAAGAGATATCATAAGTATAGTTTATTTTTTTATAACGTTTTTGTATTTTTATTAAATGTTGTACAAGTGATGTCTACAGGGTGTTGGTATTTTTTTGTTGGCAAGTTATTACACTATCTAACACCCCAATAATCTATAATATTTGTATAAGATAGTGACAATTATTATTTTTTATAGCAGCTTCTCTTCATATTGATTATCCAATGTGGCCTGAGTTCTGGAATGCTGCCACTGATAGGATTCCACATTGTGGGGCGTTGGAATTTATTACAGAATGAGTCATGATTTATATGCCTTATTGGGTATTGATGGAAATGTTTAATTCTTGCTCATGTAGATCGATAAGTATTTTACAATATGCTCTTTTAAC